TACTTGTATACTATTATTATATTATTCAAAATATTTTATTGCTAAATTTCATGAATATGACTTCTGATAATATGAAATCCTAGACAAATAGATTATCTGTTTAATAAGAAATTAGGCCCAAGATTTGATGAATCAATACATTTATAATAATACCAATCTTCCAAGATGAATTAAATCTGACACTTGTTCCAAACACTCATAAACATACAATATTTAAAAAGATGATTATGAATGTGTGGAATAAACATATATCTCTTCACTTGAACATCCAATATAAAATAATAGTCAAAATAAATTGACACTCAAAGCTCAAAATGTTACAAAATTATATCAATTTCTTCTGAAAATTCTTCAAACTTCTGAACAGTATGTTACAGTTATAATATGTATATCTTTACACATTCCCAGTCCAACACTTGATTCAAAACAAAATATATGCTTGGGTACGACTTGTCTTGGGTACCAGTTGACCAGTTACCTTTAAAATGACTTAAAGTGCCAATTCGGTAATTTCCATTTATTTTTCTTTACACAAATAGATTCAATGGGTATTGGTTGGTAGAAACAGTAAACCAACAGACTCGCATCTTCATCTGATTGTCTTTCAGTGCCAGAATAAGATTTCCCGGAAAGAAACATGACGTCACGATCAGAATCGGTTATGGATTTTAATCGGCAATGCGGTATGCAACTGGAATGTTAATTCAAAAGTGTTCATTTTATACTGTGTTCTGATTGGCCAGATAGGAGTACCGCTTCTCAAAATCACCTCATGGTTCAATGCCTTTTGGTTGTAAGATTTTTAACAGCATAGAGTTATGTAACAGGATCAACTCAACATGTTAGTTTCTATACTGTATTCTGACTGGCCAGAACGTAATTCTGCATGACTAGCTTTGTGAAAACGCACCACAGGGTCGGGAGCTCTAATTGAGGTATTATATTTTTCGCTCATCTGAGAAAAAATCGTGGCTCCAAAGTAGTCGAAGTTGAATCATTTCCGCAGTGCATTGAATGCAGTGGCAATCAATTACACTGACCCTTTATAAGCACGTTCGGAGATCTTAAACTCCAGCAACATGTTTAAAACCTGTTCTGATCGTGATGTCATGATTGGCACTTGACTTTGGGTTCCCGATTTTGAACATCAAATTTCACATTTACAGAAAGATTTACAAGAACGGTACATGGTTTGACTTGTAAATGGTGTTTACTTCATTTAAAACATGTACAAACTGAATTTTGACCCCATGAGCATCGCACAGACACTTTAAATGCAGCTCTAACATAGAACCAGGGAGATTTGAAAAATCAGGCTGTTGCTGGATTAAGTTCGAGAGTTGTGAACAATCATGTCTATATAAAGACATATCCTTTGATTCATATGAGAGTAAACTGCGAAATTACAAAATTATTTCGCACTATGCTATTTTTGAGTAATCTTTTAAAAATATGGTAGTGTAGTAATTTTATCTCTAATATGTATATTTGTGTTTAAAACACATTTTCCATGCTTTGAAGATAACAAGACACATTGTTAATATATATGATCTAAAATATGTCAACTAATCACCATTCAACTAAAAATATAAACAACTATTGCTGAAAGTGAAACATTGGTCATTTCGCCCATTTATGTGTCATTTTTTGATTTTAGTGTGCTAATAAATATGCTTAACTTTTGAAAAGTTTAAGAATATTATCATGCAATAATAACATTTGTGTTGGTTTTCTCATTTAATGGTGGAGGGCAGATCTTAGACCTCTAATAAAAACATTCGTTGTCTTACATACATTTTCTTTAAGTTAAATCAAAGACAGATTCAATAAAAAACATATATGAATCTATCATCAAAGAATTATAATTGTGGAAAATTATATGCTACTGCTAAATGCAGAATGCTAAAAATGCCAAATTTTAGACACATGTAATCAAATGAAGGTTACATTAAATAATACATATCGATAGAGAATAGCTACAATTTTGTTAAAGTTGATGATTTGAAATTACTTTTTCATTTACATAAATGGGGCAGGGGAGACATGAAAGCTATAATATCAACATTGGTTGTCCAATATACATTTTCTATATCCTAAATGGAAGAAGACATGTACAAGAACAAATTTGACTAAGAATGCACCAACCAGTCAGCATTAAACTCAAGATATAAGGACCTATATGGTATTGCTGAAAGCGAAAATGGTCAAAAAAGCCATGTTTTGTCCTTAAATGTCTCATTTCTAGGCACTAGTTTACCAATAAAGGTTCTGAAATATCTTAAAAACATTAAATAACACATAATATTGATATAGAATAGCTACAACTTTATTAAAGTTTATAGTTTCAAGTTATTTTATATTTTCATATTTTTCTTATATTTTTCATGATAAATGGGGTAGGGGAGATCTGAAAGCTCTAATATGACCATTGGTGGTCCACTATACATTTTCTATACCTTAAATGGAAGAAGACATCTACAAAAACAGATTTTATTACAATTGCAACAACCAGTAAGCATAAAACTCAAGATATGAGGAACTATATGTTACTGCTGAAAGCTAAAATGATTTTAAAAAATGCCAAGTTTTGTCCTTAAATGTCTCATTTCTAGGCACTAGTATACCAATAAAGGTTCTGAAATATCTGAAAAACATTAAATAATACATAATATTGATATAGAATAGCTACAACATTGTTAAAGTTTATAAATTCAAGTTATTTTATATTTTCATATGTTTCAGTAATTTTTCATAATAAATGGGGTAAGGGAGATCTGAAAGCTCTAATATGACCATTGGTGGTCCAATATACATTTTTTGTATCTTAAATGGAAGAAGACATGTACAAGCACAGATTTAATCAAAATTGCAACAACCAGTCAACATTAAACTCAAGATATAAGGAACTATATGTTACTGCTGAAAGCGAAAATGATCAAAAATGCCAAATTTTGTCCTTAATTATCTTATTTCTAGACACTAGTACACTAATGAAGGTCCCTAAACATCTGAAAAACATTAAATAATACATAGTGTTAATATTAAATAGCTAGAGTTTTGTTTGAGTTGAACATTTTGACTTTTTGTAGTTTCCATTTTTAGCCAATTTTTTTCTAAAAAATTCAAGGTATGTCTTCCTCGGACCAATATTTAGATATGTTCGCAAGAGTTATATGCTTCGCAGGCGAAATCCCTTATGCAGGAAACCCTAATAGAATGAAAAATACAGAGAAACTCCATCCAGCTCACAAAGTCATTTTTGGCACAATTCTCACACCTTCCACCCCGAGTAGTTGATAAGTCTTTGTTGTTATATCCTATATTGCCCATTCTATATTTCTGACAATACAATTCAAAAAATACCATAGCAAATATTAAGAAATGGTCTTTTGGGATGATTTTCGTAAGCTTTTTTTACTCTTGAAAACCTGTTATCCAATGATTTGGGTTCACACTTTCTCTCCAAAAATGTCTAGTTTAATATCTTGAATATTTGATTAGTATTTTACAGAACATTTTCATAATGGTTTAAAATACATGTTTTGCACATGCATAACCGTTTAACAGTTTATTTTGTGTCATCTTATGGACTACATCTAAACAATCAAAAAATGATATGTTTAGTGTACAATAAATGAACCAAGAATTCCCCCATCAAGTAGACAATCGGTAATGTCATTTTCTTTTGCCTGGACAGCATGTATAATTGTCAGGCCATATTTCATGTCATGGTTACGTAACAGATGTATTACATAATTTTTATCATTGATGTCTCTCATCTTTGTGCGTAGAATTTGGTAGAATGAAACATAGTGTCATTATGTTGTCATAGTGATAAAGGAATTGAAAGCAGGGCTTACTGGCACATATACCTGCTCACATACTTTCTATTAATTCCCATACAAATGCTTTACAAAGTCTGTAATACAGTGCAGTAAAGCATAGTGTAGTGCAGTCATTTATATTGCGGTGCAGTAAAGCATATTGTAGCACAGTCAAGTATGTATGTATTTTAGTGCAGTAAAGCATGTTACAGTGAGTAAAGTATATTTTAGTGCAGTAAAGCATGTTACAGTGCAGTAAAGCATATTGTAGCACAGTCAAGTATGTATGTATTTTAGTGCAGTAAAGCATGTTACAGTGAGTAAAGTATATTTTAGTGCAGTAAAGCATGTTACAGTGCAGTAAAGTATATTGTAGTGCAGTAAAGCATATTATAGTGAAGTATAGAATAGTGTTATGAAGTGTAGTATAGCATTATCTAGTATATACCACAGTGCAGTTGATTTAATCTTACACAACAGTGCAATGTGACTTGTCAACGTTCAGTAACATGCTGTAATAAATGATGAATTGAATTATATCAACCAATGAGTTGACAAAGAATGAAAAGGGATATATCATTTTCAACATGCTATCCATGAATATGATAAATGCCAGTCATGAGTTAGTTGCCTACCCCTAAATGCTATAGTAAACCATTGATAGGGAACGTATCATGTCATGTATACATTTCTATGTCAATAATCTGCAAAATGCTAAAAAGCCTATTTAAAGCAGATATATTATTTAACAGTGATGAAATTTCCTTTCTCTATTTTACTTTGTGGAAAGGGGAATAGTAAAGTATAGAATAGTGAAGTATAGAATTGTGAAGTATTGAATAGTGTTATTTAAAGCATATATATTATTTAACAGTGATGGAATTTAGATAGAATATAATTTAAACCTTACCATGCAAACACAAACACAAACACAATGATATTCTATAGATCCTTTCAAAATATGTACATTCATGAAAAGATATGCTATATGACTTCCATATTGACTGATATCTATAAATTAATTCACTGTTCATGTTTTATTGCTTCAGTTATTGAAATTCTTTTGTATAACATGTTATTTTGCTATTTTTGCAAGCCCCTTAATCTCTGTGAATTTACCATGTCATTAATGTTAGTATGACATTGATGTTATAATCTGTCTTTATTTTCATCCAGTGCCCTCATGAGCTGCCGTGTCCAAGGTTTACTCAAGAAAAGAAGACACCATGCAACTTCCCTATTAGATACAAGAAACTAACAAATACCCAAAACTTGGTAAGTTAAAAGATCACAAGGATGTACAATATGTAATTCATGTTTATGAATACTTCTTCAATGTAAACACACCATAATATGAATGCTTTATGGTAACAATTTTTAAACAACATAGTGTATTTTACAAAAAGTATTTCCTAAATTGTCGATATTTCCATTGAATGTGCTGTCTATTATGAGTAGCCTATAATGTCATATTTAAATTAACTGGTTTCATCATTATTATTCTAGTTCCACATAACAAAGAGATCATTAAATTTTCATCAATTAAGGTTATTATTGTTAAGCTACTGACACATTATTTTCTTTACAGAATGATGGCAATGTTAAAACTGATGTATACTCATACCTGGTGATGAAACGTGGGCCTAGAACAGATCCTTCATTATCCTGGCCAAGGGTAGTGCGTGAGGGTGTCAATCCGAAACACTGCTCATATTGTCGTGTGTGTACCAGTACAGGGACGCTTGATGAAGCAATAATAAGCAAGGGGAAAAGTGGAAAGTATGTCTAGTAGTGCAATCAGAGGAACATCATTTACAGTTATTATGTCACCACCACAAGTGGTAGCAAAAATTCTCATTTTTAATGCATTGACATAGACTTTAGGATTCTACCAACTCCAGTTTGACCAATATAGGGGTAACAATTACTAACAACAAGTGGTGATATATTGTTAATGTTATAGTCTCCAACATTTTTGTGGACAGTGATTGGTGTTTCACATTCGGCATTCAGTGTCTATAACAAATGGCAGGTGATGACATTTTGCATGTTAACGCCTTGTTTAATTTCCAATTCCCAAGTTATTATAGTTTTATTGTCAGAATGACAAGGTCACACCAAAATGGTTATGCTAAAATAAACAATGGGCCACAGGGTTCTCACCAGGAAATTTTTAGACCCCAGATTTTTAGCGGTATTGTGACTACTTTTTTCGCGGTATTGCGACTTCTCCCCCACGTGAGATCAGAGATATCCTATTAGTATACTTCTCAACATACTTCTCAACATACTTCTCAACATACTTCTCAACATACTTCTTAACATTATCTTGCTATTTTAATCCCAGTTTTTATTCCTAAAAGGTATCCAACTTCCCATTCCTTGTTTGTATCCAGTTAAATGTTTTTACTCAAGAGTTTTACCGCAAAAAATGTGACAAAAATGTACAATTAGACTCCGGAAAAACACTTTAGCTTAAGACTCCTGAAAAGCTATTAGACTCTGGAGCAAGAGGGTTTTAAGACATTAGACTCCGGAGAATCTTCGGAGTCTAAAAGCCTAGTGAGAACCCTGGGCTACTTCTAAAACTATGAACATATTACAGACAAGCCTTTTGATATTCAGTGTAATTTGCTGTGAAGCTGTTAATCTATAGGCCTTCAGAGTGTCGGCCAAGTTAATGTTGAGGCCATGGTTCAAAAATAGTATTAACAAGACGTCACACTAAGATTAGCCACACACATATAAAACATAAAATTCCATGTCTTCATAAGTCTTCTCCTGCATTCCTTGTGCATTATTTGTGAACTTGTTATATTTTGCAATGAGTCTTCAGAGACATGCAATTTAGGGATTTACAGACATGACTTTTTCTAAGACACTTTTATTTAATGCCTTTATACTTTTTTCAGGCATCTGTATAAAGTGGCCAAATACACTGCATGGGGGGACAGATTACCTGTGAAAGACACTCCACAAAGTGAAAAAGACAATCTCCATCCTATGGATACAGACTCTGAAACCCTCAAAAATGTTGTGGCTGATGACCTCAATCATACAGATGGTAACCAAAGGTTGAAGGACACAGATTCTCTCAGTCATGCTACCAGAACCAATACAACAACCAAACAGGACTTTGAAAAATCAAACAATAATCCTCCTAAAGATGATGATAAACAAACTGAACTTTCACAAACATCTAACACTACAGAATGTATAGATTCACATGTGGATGAGTCCGTGACAAGGTACTTTAACAGCACTTAAAGTTTGATCATATTAGAAAGGGTGTCCTTTAATGATAAATAAATTCACAATCTGCAATGACAGCCATTTCTTCTTATCTTATTTATTGCATAAAACTTGAATATTTCAAATGGCCATCCTCAGAACTGAACTTCATTTAGAAGATGAAGATGACTCAGTGATGAATTTAGATTACTCAAAATGTAAGAAGATATGATAATACTGGATAGATACTGTGATTATGAGTAAAAAACATATAATTACTGAAATAAGTCAAAATAAAAAATGCTGTGAATACATGTATGTATATATTATCTTTATAAGTCTGCTGCAGGCTTTTTACTTTTCTTTATCATGTGTTCAATACAATATTTCTAAGAAATGACTGAACTGGAAATTAGTATCCAATTGTGTCAACTCCACACGTGTGCATTACAGAACATAGTACAAAACGACATCCTGGAAAAGTGTTACAGATCTTGATGCCAACGTCTCCACATATCAATCGATGACATAAGAATCAAACAAAACAAAATTTACTGGTGCCTATTGTATCTAGTTTATTTTTATTCTTCAACCAGCAGGACTAACAGGTTTAATGGTTCAATAACCTATATTTCATATTGTACATCGGCTTTTCATGCATAATACAAGGGGTCCCTTTGTGGGGTTAAGGACCTCTTGTAACAAAACATATACCAAATGTATCACATTGGGCAAAGAAACGGAAATATGACACCATTTTAAGGTTTATTGTAACATTGTCCATTTTTACAAGTTGTTTGAATAATAACAAATCCAAAGAAGTTATGCCATTTAATCATAAACAAAAATTAGCTTTGAACCATCACACATAATTAATTTAAATAATTTAATTTGTAAAGGCATAAAATCAATAGACCATGTCATAATTCGCCACATATATTACAGTATTCTAGAAGCAAATCTAAATACAGAAGAGTTTGGAGTATAAAATTGATTGAGCTTCCAATACAAAATAAGCAACAATTTTCTAAGACCACAGGCAGTTATGCATTTAAATACAAGTATTTTACAATTTTAACCCATTCAATAGTAATTTCAGACATCAGGAGGCCAAATTGCGTTATAAATAAAACCGAATATGTTATCCTTTATTAAACACGCATAAATATCACTTCTGGAACTTAATTCACACATTTACAAGTTTATAGACATTTAATAGGCCAGCCTTAAGGTGGTAACCTTCAACACACTAGCTGCTACCTTGGCTCTATATTGTTCTTACTAAAATCCATCTCACAACCAAACCATGGCAGTGATTCGCTTCTCAAACAATTTCAAATGGTTGCTATGGTAACATAATTACCGAAACATGTTGCTGTAGTAATACTATGGGCAACACATTTAATCCCTATATTTTATCGACATGGTGTTCAATATGGAGATTTCTTACTTGATAGCAAACAGTTCAAATTATTTGAACATTTATAGTTCTAACTCTATCTTTAACAACCCGATTGATGACATTTTGAATTCATTTGGTATGACAGTATGTCATTATGATAAAGATTACATTTTGGACAAAACTGAAAATTTGCTTGTAATGTATTTCGGTTAGATGAAGCAACTTAATTTACGAAAACCTTAACTCAAAAAATCATGAAATGAAAAATTACGTCAAGTTTTAAATCGGTAAAAATCAAGAGACATGCAACATGAGACGTAATTATGTTCTGATATTCTATCGTTTAATTGTATTGATATAGCAGAACTAAACCGGTATGTGTATATAGTATTGAACAATTCTTTCAGTTTAAAATGTGATGGTGTGTGCTTTAGAATATAACATATATCTATGAATCTAACGCTTTGATGGTCACATAATCTGCATTCAAAACCATAGCCATATGTTTTACCCCAGGACTAACTGCTCAAACCCATTAACAGTGATTTCAAAAATGCCACTTACAAAAATAAGAAGAATGCACATTTCATTGTAGGTTGCTTTTAATCATGATCACTCCCGAACAGATTCTTCGAGACCATCTAATTGGGATTCTTCAATATACCCTATGTATTATGTTATTTACCCTTATACCATGGGCTTATCCTATAATTTCACCATGAGTATGCACCCCAGTTCAAATGGCTCTTTAATGTGAATGGCAATTGAGAAAATATCCCATCTTGGTTAAGAGTAATTAGCCCCGGGAAAGCACAGACATTACTTATATACATACATTATAGCTTCATAGCTTTGGACAACAGGTCTTTCATAACAAAGTCTCAACAAAAACAGGACATGGCCATGATGAATGAACCCACGTTCAAATTTGAACACTTCTGATTAATGTTATACAAATTCATTGCTATGGTGACTCAAATTTGACAACAATAGAATTCATTGTTAAATTTCAAATCCTGATCAGTCGTACGCATAATTATATTATAAAACTGGGTATAAAAACACACCACGATAAAAATGTTTTGTACATAGTTATACTGTAGTTACATCACCCTGGGTTCTATTTTCTACAAGTCTAAGAAATTCTGTACTGTGTATTATTCCAAATCATCATAATGCTGGTATTAATATATTATGTTTTTGTTTAAAACACTACCTGTCATCCCTATTATGGGTGACTTCCCGATGTCCAGCAGTTATAAACTCTTCCATGCAGTTTTATGAAGGGGTGTTAGGTATGAATTACAACAGGCCTGTTCCCTAAGGCCTGAAGTCTGCTACAGTCCATATATTACACAAACAGAACACACACTTCCCAGAATATCAACACATCACATGACCCTAGTTCTAAATCCCATTGGTTGTTCGTCGTAAAATCCATGCATACGATTGGTCAATATGGGTCATGTGGCTCAATGCATGTGATTGGTCCATATGAGTCATGTGACTAAAATGCTGATAATGCCAGGGTGAATTAGAGGTCTGATTCGCCGTAGAGTGCGGTTGAGAAGGAAGAGTAGTCTAGAGCCCCTGGGACAGCGTCAGGTCCTTTGTAGGGAGCCATTCTCGCTATGCAATACTCTGCCTGGTCTGGGGGCAGCTCACGACGCAGGATCTCTGCTGTGATGTAAGGCTGCAAGCACAAAATAATAATTTATCAATTTGAATATTTTATTATCTTTCCAAGCTCTTCATACAACTTTTAAAACACTTACACATTTAGTACTCAGAAATATTAATTAGCTAAGAGCTGAAATTGCAACAGAGTAAAACCTTTCAAATCCAACTGGAACCTCTTCATTTATATGGGAGTCCATAGAAGAATAAAAACAGGCCAAAACAAGGTTTATCATTGAAAGGTGTAACGATATACAGGTTTTCCTTACAATAATACATGATCTACTTAGTATTTTAATTAGTTTATCATTGATTTGTAACAATTCTATAATCATAAATGTTTTATTAAATTCTTCGTAGAAAGCCTTGATAAAATGAAACCTACTTGGTCTCCAGAAAGAATCTTGAAGGACTGCATAACTTGTTCTGCTGTGTCAGTATCGGTGGTTTCCCGGGTCATGAAGTCGAGGAATGCCTCGAATGTCACAAAACCAGTGCCGTTGGGATCAACAATCGCCATCATCTTCTGGAGCTCTGCATCACCCTGAAAGTGATGTCATAATGTATTGTGATGTAATAATGTATGTCTTTGTCATATTATGATGTCATATGATGATGTCATTATTTAAGTTGTCACATTTTGAATAATTTTGTCTATAAGCAATTTATGAGACAAAATTAAAGCAAGTCATTCAATTATACTCCATCATTTGAAAATCATAGATTGCATTGAAATAAAAAATTGGTGCAGATAACTACATATTAAAGATTTTCTTTGTCATGGAAAAATAATAACAAAAATACTTAAAATTCTAGAATCACATAAATATCACTTAAAATATAATGAACATGCTAGAACTTCTAGAAAATAATAGGAAATCTCAAATCAGAAATATATGGAGGGAATAAGCTCATTCCGAATCAAGACAACATTTTGGAGACATGGAATACATGGTATGGTCAAAATCAAAGGAATGTGTAAATAAGTGCAAACAGAGTAAAACATGCTACAGGAGTAAATGAGGTAACCTGAGGTGCATTTCTGTAAAGGTATTTTTTAAATTATAAATTCAATTGTTTTTTAACTATGGCTTCAGAATTTCCATAGTAACAACAAATGGATTTATGAACATTCATTGCTAAGAATATACACCAGGGGGCCATTAAAAGAAACCTCATAAAATAAAGAATTTGTAAAATCCATTGTTCTCTAACTGTGATGTCATTATATCCATGGTTACAACAATTGATCAACTTTGCAACTTTACGAAGTTTCTGTTAATGACCCCCGATTCAGAGCCTTTATTGTATTGAGGTAGTGTTGCTTATTTCAAAACCCAAAAATAGCTGCCATGGCTCCAAATCAGTCACAGTTCAATTAATACCTCATTACACTGAATGCATCACTGATCACATTCACATTATGTGCATGTTGTGAACTCCCATGGCACATTTTAACCCATTGTTACTAAAACAGTGGACTCATGCTTTACTCTAGCTTTTATATACAGATTATATTTCCTTTGTTAAATTAAATCGGGTTTTGTTTTTGAAAACCTGCACAAATGTTTTCATTGACCAGGCACTATTCTGCCTTTTTGGCCACACATCAAGTATCACTTATACCATAGTTAATTCTCAAATTGTGCACATTTTTGAACACTTCATCGATATGCAGTAACACAGTGGGCATGTTTAACAATTTGAGGACAACATTTTATTTTCATGCTAATAGATTAACAGTGACATTAAGGAATTAAGGCAAAATATAGAAACAGGAAGATAAATTAGTGCTGGGATGAACTAAAACAACAGTTACAATGGTCAATATTTTGCTGTATTTGGATTTTAAACAGTTCAAGAAATTTCCAGTTTTTAGGTTAAGTCTGAAACAAATGTTTTGTTAGCAGAAACTTAATCTGATATCACCAGCCCAAGTTAAAGAATGCAAAATTAAGATAAGGATTAAGTCAATACATGTATTTAGTATTTCTCAATGATGTGTATCTCACCATGTTTTAAACACTCCATAGTGCCATATAATGAAATTTGAAAATGTTGATTTGCCTTTCACTTTGGTTTTTCCAAAAAACAACAATTGTCAATTTTGTAAACAAATTTGTCATTTACATACAATCCATCCCCCACTACTGAAATTCACATTACTGGTATCTAACCAAACAGAACTATTCCAATAACGTCAATAAATGAAAATAACACCACTTCACCAAACTACATGATGACCCAGTGATAAAGGTTGATAACAATCAGATTATGTGACTACCATTTTATATACAGTACATGTTACATGGTGTCTTTGAACTGTAGACTGTAAGAGGGTTGAAGTTTTCACATTTTCTATGACAAATATCCCGCGACTATCCATATTCAGGACATGTTTAGATTCATGTATAAGCACTCTGAATGGACTCAAAACTGTAATTGCCGTATTCAGGGCCCACCCCTACTGTATTACCCAGAGACTAGGATGATACAATAGTTAAAGAAATCGGGTCTCCTGAAAACACAATTAGAGTAACCAGGGAAGCCATATTTATTACTTCTAAGGGTTTAAATATAGATAAATCCCCAAAAAACATTGTATATTGTTTTCGACTTATTGCGTTCAATTCTGACAGTTGGTTGTTCTGTTGGTTGCCCTGTTGATTTCCTCAATATATTGATGATATTGTGCTTATGATTTGGTCTCAAGATATATATAAGGTATATATGATGTTTTATGAGCAATTATATTGGGACATTACTGATTATCCAGAATAGAAATCTGGACGACTGGATCTCTTTAAGACCAGCCATACCAATGTTGGATAATAATGTGAAAACTATCAATAATAGACCTCTATCATCCACATCCACAGACACCTAGAATAGTGGTCAAAGCATTATCAATGGGTACAAACAATGGGAGGATAAACCCTTGCAAGATAACATTATGGTAGCTATGGGAGAACACAATCACCTTAAAGGAACATTACTTGCCAGACTATTTCTCTCCTGATATGGTAGCTACAATCATATATATACTTTACATATCTAGCAAAACACAGGAAAATTTTTTCATATGGTCAATATTGATCATTTAAAAATGTAGTACTCATTCCCAGTAAGCTGCCATCTTTTCAGATTTCTTTCAGGAAGTGATGTCATCGACTCTCACCTGTTATAACCTTGTCTATTACAGTATAGGAAAGAAGTACAAAATCACTTCTAAACAAGAAGCCCTTATCTTCTGTGTAAAAATATTTCAGAAGTTGTTAACTTAGAACTAAAGAAGATATCATCAAAAGGATTTTAATCATAGACCAAATTGAAAAAAATATTAAGCTGGTTTAGTAATTCTAATAGCTCCTTATCTAATGTTATATGCAAAGTTGAGAGTCGATGACATCACTTCCTGAGTGAAATTTTAAAAGATGGCAGCCTACTGGAATTGAGCACTACATTTTTAAGTGATCAATATTGACCATTTCAAAACATTTTTCTGTTTTTTGATAAACTTGCAAAGTATGTATATGGTTATAGCTACCATATTAGGAGAGAGATGGTCTGGCAAGGAATACCCCTTTAATATAGGAAAAATTTATGAATTAAATATTCACACCTGTATTTTTTGTAGGCTCTCATTTATATTGTGATAAATAAGTGGCACAAAACAAGTGGATCAAAATTTAATATGTATAGGGGTTTTATTTTAAGATAATTTCTGATGATTTCCAGAGTCTTCCCATAGCCACCGGGGAGGTTTCATAACAGATGTATACACCATACTTGATAGTCCCCTCCAATGTTAAAGCCAAGACTTATGAGACAGGCTTTAAACTCTTTGGGGGTAAGACGACGTGATCGCCGTTTATCGAAATGTACAAATGACTTTCTAAATTCCTCCATCATTTCATCTGTAATACCCTTGGCATCTCTTGTAAGGACCTATGAAGAAAATAAAATAATACATAGTTATATATGTTTAAACCGTGTTTTCCATGTGCCGTTCATGTTTATCTGACCTGGGATCCAGTCACTGTAGTCTGGTGGTTTTTCACTTATTCAAATCATCACCCACTTTTCATATTTTTGCATCAGGGCCCAGAGAATATAAGGACATTATTTGGGAGGGATATTTCTTTTAATAGCTTTATTTATCATAAATATGATCACACTTTTTGTAAAGATAACTCAAAAGAAACAATTGCTTCATTTTTTTACAAACCAATGAGCATTAAAGTCTTCTGAGCACCAAATTACTTGAATTTATCAATGAGTTGAAATCCCAGGTCTGATATACAGTTTAACAGCATCATGGAGATAGTCCTAAAATCTCCACCAACCTGTCTGTCGTGGCCGATGTTGAATCCCAGGCTAACTAAGCATTGCTTGAATTCATTAGGATCCAATCTTCTGGACTTTTTTTTGTCAAAAAAGTTGAAAGATTTCTTGAATTCATCCATTTGGTCTTCTGTGATTCCTTTCGAATCCCGGGTTAGGATCTGGGAACATAGGGGTTAATCTCAGATGTAGACATAGACATCACAGGGTTAACATAAATATACACACATAGTAGGTATAACAAAATATTTAATAATTATGATGTTTAATTGAATCTTATAACTGTACTTTAAGATTTTTATTCAAAATCACATTTATACAATACGAATAGATTTTTTTATGACTTCTCTTACGGCTATCTTTTTCTCAAATAAAAGAGATATTGTTAGTTATCAAAAACCAAACAAAATTGAAGAAAATGAACCCTGCAAGGATCATGCATATTATACCTGGTTTTCAGTTTCATTGATGTTTCTTGCAATAGCTGTTAGAAGTTGCTCCCATCCTACACGCAGGCTCTTAAATAAAAAAAATAGACATACATTAACACACACATCAGTTCAAAATTATGTGCAAAGAATCGATGAAACTATTTTGAAATCTGAGCAAGGCTCATATAAATTATATTAATAAAGCTATGATCTTGTCAACATGACTGATACTAAAGATACTCCATTATGTGAAGTATGAACTTATGGTATTCAATATGTACCTCCATTGTGTATTGAGTGTGTCTATTTTCAAATATCATAGCTTCTTGTACTTCTTGGTTGTAACGTTCCAACTCATCAATGTTAGGCTTGTATTGGTGGACCTCTGTATCAAAGCTCTTGAATTGCGTTAGTGTATTTTCCAACGAGCCTGATTGTAAGCTAATAGAAACAAGGTGATCAAGATGGCGCTCAATCCATTGTCCAACAGTGTTAGCTTTCTTGGCGAATTGAAGACGTAGACGTTCATTGTTCTGTTGACGAATCATCTCTTGTTGAAGTACTCCATCACGCTTGGGCACAAGTTGACGAACCTCTGTCCATTTGTTTGCAATATCCTACAAAAGTAAAGAAACGTCTTTCAACTCCATTTAACACATTCTTCAAATTTGGGTAATTCCCATGACACAATTAGGGTGTTCATACAAAGTTATTTTAAAAACAATCAATCAATCAACATTACAATGGAAGCAATTTAGTCGCTGGTATATCACGCATGCAAACGTTGTTTTTTTTGCTAAATTTGCTGCAAAAGGCCAATTAGAAATGACATGCATATTTGCCATGGTAACATGCATTAGACAATAAGCATACATTAAAAAGCAATTATCTCAAAATTTGGCCAATCACATATGACAGACAATTCAATGAAGTAATGAAAATTTTACAGTTACATAATACATCTACAAAACATATAACACAACAAAAGCAGTCATATAACAAAAACTACAGTATATACTAGCTACCATTCTAATCAGCTAAACTAAGATAGATAACACACAAAAGTGAACATTTAATAAAAGCAAGTAAAAGTGATAAAATTGTATAAAAATGTGAAACAAGATTAAGTCAAATAAATTCAAAGATTAATATGAATAACGGGACATCTAAACTAAAACAAAGAAACTGAAATAGTTAAAAGCTCTGAAGTTAAACTTAACAATCTAGATTCAGGTAAAGATTTAGAGTATGGAAGAAATGAAACCATGATGCTATGGCAAATGACAATGAATTTAAAAGATGATTATTTCTGAACATAAAATAAAAATTTCTCAATTATTTTCCGGTATATACAAAAGAATTAAGATTAAAAGTCGGGACAAAAAATGAAAAGTGAATAAATGACATGTACTCAAAAATGAAATAAGTCACTGAGAAAACTATTGACCGATGTCCTGATACTCCTATAACACCACCAATCAAAATCAAGGTTGTTTCACTGAATGATAACCGTGCAAAATTCCAATCAAAACCAATGTGCAATCTGTGTATTCAAATAATTTAGTATGGTGTATGTGTAGGTGTATGCGTAGAAATACTACTCCAACAAAAACATAACTCATCTATAACGATGAAACAATGTATTATGTGCAGCCCACAACAAACAAATAAGTCCAATTAAAACTCTTACAGATGTGTTATTACAACAAATAAGGCTACACTATGTCTCAACAGTAATGGATGTCATGCATACATTTTAAACTCAATAAAAATCTCCAGTAAATGTTGAAATCATAAGCATCTCTTCATCTAATTCCACATTATCACACATAGGACTTGGTGGAAAGGAACTTTATGAAGAGCATTATTCAAACATATTTTCTGGCTTTGATTTAAAACCACAATAGAAGATATCCTCTCTAAAGACACCCTGTATATGAGTATATAAGAAAACTCATTCTTCACAAAGCTAGCATCTGATTCACAAGTATGATAACATCCATTATAGCAACAGAGTTAGCCTACAACATTTAGTAGCTGCTGTCTGTCAGCCCAGTACAAAATGAACAAACCTCATGGTGATATGTAACCTTTTCAGTTTCACCATCCTCAGACTACACAGCAAATTGAAAACATAGGTTAGTGTATGACATTCCACATGAGCCAATCATACAGCATTCAAAAATTACAAATCTGATGTTGGAACATGTTAATATTAAGACTCCATGCAAGGATGCATTTATATTACTGGTTTAATTGGAGTTTAAAATATTCTCACGTTAAAATGAGATTCCTAATGTCAGAATTCTACAAAAGTTTCGACTGATTCTGCGTAAATATAGCAATAATGTTGATGTAATAATGAATGTCTTTCATACATTTCTGGTTTGTGCTTTAAACCATTTCAAAAGTATGGTATGTTGAGGTTTCCTGACATTGATTTGGTTAATATGTCATCAAAGCAACAAGCTCTTTAACAAATAAATTCCGAAAATTCTCTTCTAATTAAATACAAATGATCACTTCTATCACTCAATTATCAAATGATATGATAATGAATATGATAAGGAAAGCAGTTTTAAATCTGCCAAGACGCCACAGATACACCTAAGTAGAAGACTGTTACATACAGATACATTTAGAGTATACACAAGAGATATTAAATGTTCCTACATTTCAATCTATTCAGTTAAATAGACATAAAAGCCATGCTAAATGTTTTCCCGCCTCCAAAAAAAACTGAAAACTTAAATCATGAAATTTTTTTTTTGATTTATTTAAATCATCAGATTTTTTTATTTCATTTGATTAAAAACGAGAATCATCCAAGATTTTGTCAGCTTAACTTTCAACATGGCAATATAAAAGTATTATTATTAGTACATAGGGGGATAGGGTAAAGGTTTTATCTAAATTAGTATATACCAACCTCCTAAAAGGGACATATGAAGGAAAAACAAAAGCACAAAATTATTAACCCAGCAACCATGGATACACTGTGCAGGCTGCTTTAATATGGGATGCGATGGGTGAATCAACTCTAATGCAGTATTGTGTATTTTATTTCATTTTGCTTTTAACACTGAGCTTGGGGCCAATTTTTCTTATGGCTACGCCTGTTGCGATCCCCATAAATGTAAGTGTCCTTAGGTTAGGAACATCACACTTGACATCGACTATATCATCTATAGACTTTCCTGGTAATCAACTACGCATTTTTCTTATTGCTTGTTTATGGTGTTTGTCCAACGTATCTTTTTTAAAACAAATGTAGCCTATGATACTAAGTTAGGTGTGTCCTCGATCATTGTGACATCATAATGTTCGATGACTCACTAGTTGTGACAAACTTCAACTTAGGATCCTATGAAAAACTGGCCCAAGTTGAGCATAGCAGGATTAGATCAAGCAATGACAAATATACCAGGAGTGTCACACTCTACTATACCTAACCCCTAGAAATGCATAAGATACTCTGTTTGTCCAATTGCATTGTTTAGTATATTTTTGAAAGTACCTCATTAACATCTAACTTTCAACCGATAAACCATTCATAAGGAACAGACACATAAAAACAAATAACATAATCATTACTGATAAGCCAAATGGGTTGCTCATGAACACCAAATGCAAGGTATAGTAGAGTGTAAGGATATCATGTTTATGTACAATACCTATAGTCACATCCTTATATACCACCATTATACTATCATAGTTATTTCAACAAAAAACAATATTTCATGTGGAGAAACATTGTTTTTTGATCAGATTTTATAAAAATCATATACTGAAATAATATTCAGACAAAAAGAATGGTATTTTTATTCTCCAGGCAGATGGTAATATTATAATTTAATTCAATCATTTAAATTTTCTCAACACAGGGCAGCACCAGGAAAATATCATAATCACTGCACCATCTTAGATTGATACCATTCTTTTTTGTTTGTGCATATAGCGACTTACACCCCAATTAAATAGCTACAATACCTGCTCCTACAAAGGTCAAAGTTCAATTATTAGTACAGAGGTCAAAGTCAAATCAAAACAGTCGTCAAAACAGGCGGCAATCCAGGGCCAGCATTCAACTAATGCAAATTCACAAACTGGACATGTTATGCTCAGGGTCAAGGTCAATATATCAATGCCCCCGCCCCCCCCACATTACTTAATTGATTACATTTTGAGGGAAGTTTTTGAACATTGTTTTCAAAAGAAAATAATTCTTAAATTGAAAATGTTTTTGAAGTTCTAAAATCAGAATGAGAAATTTCATTTATTATATTCTGAAAAGACTCTGAAATATTGACATGAACCCTAGAAATATGCAGCGTATATTGTGTTGGCTTTAATTAAACATATACATGCGATATATCTACTTCAACAAGACATACTATGTTGCAATATAAATTCTTTTTCAACATCTCCAAACACTTGCCTTGACAATTACTGATTTTCAAAACTTAATTTTGTTAACCATAGCAGAATTCAACAAAAAACACAGATAGGACACTGGGATCTTCATCAAACAATATCCAAAAGTAAAATTTCTACAACAAATATTTCTGAGGATGACTAAAATAATTGTCTCTTACCTGTGCACTGAGTGTTGTATAAGGGTTAACTGAGGCTCCTGTGATTTCATATTGCATGCCTATTTTCTGCACTTCATTCACAAGGCCAATTATTGCGTTAAATTCTTTATCAGCCTCTCCAAGGGTTTGCTTGAATTGTTCATGGGCATCAATCAATCCCTGAAAATGAAAAAATATGTATGCATTTATCACTGGATCTTTTTAAACTGATAGCAAAAATGGATCCATTTCAACAATAAAATGTACTTTTTGAAGGTATGATTTTTATTTTTTCATGATTTAATGAGGGATCTTCCAGGCTTTTTTGGCACAAACGTGTGTTTCAGTCAGAATATCACAATAATTTATCCTATTGTTTTTTAAATGGATGAATAACTGTAGTTCTATGTTCAATTTAGGCCTTGGTGCATTACACCATTGCCATACTATATACTATTAATATTCCTATACTGACCTGTATTTCCTCGGTGGTGTGAACTATAAACATGTCAACCAAATCCTCCTTGGCTCCATCCATCCAGTTATTGAATGGTGCTGCCCTCTTGGCAAACTCAAGGTGGAGCTGATCAATCCTCTCCATGATACGCTCAGCCTCCTGAAAATAAAAATTCAACATACAAATTTATGAATACAATAAGCATTCAATGTTGCATTCAACTTCTGAATAGAATAATAAATAGTATAACATGTAGAGATTTCTGAATACTATAAACATTCAATTAACGTAGTGCGTAAGTTTACTATTGGTAAAGTGACTTAAATAACCTTTTGCTACAAACAGGAATGCATAAAGTTGAAGGAAAACATGTAGAAACAAAAGGTGGCTTACATCAAGAGCCACTCGACGTTTCTGAGTAAGTGTTCCAAGGACATCCCATTGGTCACAGATTCTCTGACAGCGAGCATTCACGGCAGGTGCGTCATGGTATTCAAGGGCATTCAGCTCTTGCGCTATAGCTGCAATCTGTTCCACACGGTCCTGATGGGCAGCAAGGTCACTTTCAAATGCCTCGTGTTTCTTCTTAAAAGCCTATAAGAACATATGCTAATTGTGAAAATCAGTAAACATATGGACGCTGCAATATGCAGTCTCAATTCAGAAATGACGTTCAATAAGCCAGATTTTAAAATAAATGTAGAGATGATTTCATTCACTGTCTCTCATTTTATCGCAAGATTACATTTTGAACAATAATAATCAAACTTATAAAGTACATCTATATCAATTTCATTTATAGTCTTAAACTGATACTGATGGAGTTTTCTATGAGCATGTTATAAATGAGCTACATTCAAAGTAGTTCTAGTTCAAACATCGACAGCAAAATATAACAAAATATGGGAAGTCAAACTATCATACATGTATATAAATGCAGAATCAAATCTCGAGTATCATGGGTCCATATCATTCCTTTTCTAAAACTCTCCAAGATTGAACATTTTATCTTCCATTTTCTTTAAATATTGGTATCCAAATTTTATTTACAATTTTTTACACTCAAATCTGAAACAACTTCACCATTTGATGAGAAAATGTTTGGGGAATCAAATATTTAAGATGATAAAGAATACATTGCTATGCAAGTTGAACATGTTGCTTGTAATATAATCACTCCTTATGTGTCTGATTCTGTCTTAATGTAAGCTGCTGTATTCATGTAATGTAGATGCTGTTTTCAATTGTTAGCATATCCTATATCTATTGTAAAGGTGGGATGTTCTTGGCCATCATATTCTTAAAAAAGCTTGAAATGCCTTATATAAACTGAACACATCCGCAATAAAATCATATGACTTGAACACCTTATCATAACAAAAAGATATATTTATATAAAAATAAATATAACATTATATATGTCATATCAAATTGTTACCCTACTACCCTGATATTATTTGTGTCCTAAAACAAATGGCAAGTATCAGTAATAACCAAATTGAATCAAAATCTAGTTTCCAAGACTGAATATAACACATTAAAAAAATAAATAAACTTCACACAAATAAAGCTTATGATGAAACATCTGATAAACTTCTTGTTATTTTCTCAATTTTCCACCTTATTTTGCAAATTAAAAAAAATATGGCCGCATAATTTCTGCTTTAAGAATCAAGTTTATACACTGTTTTAATTTTCAACATAAAATACCTCAATTTACTGTGTCTATGCTTCCTCTCTACTATTAAAAAAAAGTCACGCTATTGTGTCTTTGTAAAAGGTGGGAACATACTTAATTTTGAGGCTTACCTTAAGTTCATTGAGTCTACATTTCTTGTAGTCTGTGCTCTGTAGCATGTCTTCTTTGCCATGGGCCCACTCCTCATGAATGTCACACTTGTGTTTGAACTTCTGGGCCAAATGGTCCAATCTCTCAAGTCTAAACAAATACACAAATATTCAGTAATAATTAGGTTAATAAAGGCCTATCACATTTAATCATAAAATCTTCATATATTTTTCAAACAGGGCAAATGGTTCCGAAAGTGGGACAATTGTAGCAGGTGCCGACACTGACTAATAAAAAAAGATAAAATGGTGACATTGATTTAGGTCTGCCAATCTGCAATCGTTTTTAACTATCTAAGAAAAGGATTGCCAGAATAATACTATTAGGTGATCTTACCTTTGTAATTCCGAAAGTAACCAATCTTCAAAGCCTTTCTCGGCAAATTCCAGTCCTTTCCATGCTTTTGCAATGTCCTGCAAGACAACATATTTGTGTATAGTAACAACTCAGTATATGTACAAACAAATATACTCCAGGTCATTCAATAAGTTCTAGGAAAACTCTTCAAAACATTTAAATGTTGAAACATGCTTATTGATTTATAGATACAGGTTCAGTGATCATTTTCTAGAATCTCAATAAAGTGTACTATATGATATGTATATGAGCAGGAAGATACCATACATATTTATTGACTTTTTACCTTTGACCTTAACTACCTTGTACACTTATTGGCAACCCCTAAAGTCTGCTGGTGTATATAGCTGCCTGTCCATGATGCGCCAACAGTAGCGTTAATAATTGACTGAGTAACCTATAATATGAGTTACTTACTGAGACCATCTTTCCCTCTGTGGGAAGGTACGCTGGCCGGTTGCTCAGCCTCAATCTGGTTTGTAGGGTGTTGAACACAGTCTCCAACTTGGCTTTCTCCTCTAACTTTGGGGGCTTGTGTTTCCTGCGGTATTCTCTGAACTCTTCTAGTTTGCTTTGGGTTCCTAGAGAAAACACAAAAGTTTAGTACAGTATATTACATATTAAGACTTCCATGAATTTAGTGATACCCAGTCATTTATTTCTTAATGCGACTTCTCTATAAAATCTAAATGGACTTCCTGCTTTTTGCATTTCTATCTACAATTTTAAGTATGAGGTCGATGTCTATAAATTGAATTCTTTCCATAATATTTGGAATTTCAAAATTCGATAATCGTGATAAATTAGAGAAAAATGTGTACCTGGAAGAGTGTTATCTGTGGTTCTATTCTCCAGCCAAGGAGTGGTACGTTTGATCCATTCCAGCAACTGAATAAATAAACAAAACACAAATACTGAATTATTTCTTGGGAATATTCTATAAAATGCTCTTTACACGAGGTCTACTATGTAAGTTCAAACATGCAATACTTTAAATCTCACTAGTTTCACAGAATAACATTTTTTATGACATTCTGCAAACATTCTATGTTAGTGGAACTGAATGCCGCATAAACCAAGTAAATGCAGATCTTTGAATCTTTACATATATGAAATTAAAGACATGTAGAATATAGCACTTACATCACTGGCCATACGTTCATATTCTTCCATTAAACGTTCATTTTCCTGGTTCACCTTAAGCACCTTACAGATACGGTTAGCTGCCGTTTCAGCCTACAATGACAAAGTATCTCATTAAAATACATTGAATATAAAAACACACAAAATCTAGAATATATTTTCAGTGTAATGCAAGGATTTTTCTATACACATTGCAAGCCAGTTCCTGTTTATAAAGATAAAATTCTCTTTTGATAGAAAATACAAGAATATTTACAATTCACACTTAAATTATATATCTAAAGAATATACTAAGATGTAGAGTTTCAGTGTAATTAATTGGTCAACAGTTGTATAGTACTGTAACATGCTATTCTCTTTAAATTATATTTTGAGATCATTGTAGTTAAACATTGCATTGACTCCATCTCTATGCCCCCTACAATACAATAATATAGTAATACATATTCTTCATTAGTAATCAGACATGCTTCATATGAGGGTTGACCCTTTAACTTTGCCTATTTATTTGGGTGGCTTTGACTATCTTTGACTACCTTCTTCACAAGATTAATCTAGTAATTAAGTTACTGAGATACAGTGTATGTGTACTTTGGGGAAAGGGGTCTAATGCATGCAACGATAAACAGTCAACCACATATAAATCACAAAATAATTATAAAAGCAAAAGCAAAATCACCTAGAAATTCAACAAAAGTGGATTAATATTAATATGGATACTAGCTCATGTAGGTTTTATTCAAATGTTTTCCTTTGACATATGGAAGATGGTGGAAGGAAACAATATGATTGTAATAAGGGATCTGTTTCTGGTAGGTTATAACTACAAAAATTCCTATAAAATTCTGAGAAAAACATCTTAATCTTTCGATAAATAATGATTGAGAGGTAAAATTGTAAGTTACAATTTTAGTACCAAAAACAGACCCCATTAGATTTAGGATGAAAATGAACTAAAATGCAAGATTTTCTTCATACATGTTCACATAGGAATTATAACAGATGCATTCTGGGTAGGTCAAACTCCTCTAACAGGATTCAAAATGGTAGCTTTATTAAATGCTTCAGACAAAGATCTCACTCCTGGGGAACCAGAATTCAAACTGCAACCTCACTACTGAATTATGGGTAATTAACACAGGGCAACAACAGCTATTTGATAAATTCAAATTCAGGAATTCAAAATGGCAGACATTCCAATGCATCATGGGTACCTGCTGGACACCAGCAAAGGCGTGGTAGTAAGCAGAGACGTAAGTCATGACGGCTCTTTCATCAGGCTTGGGCATGTTTATCATGTCTATAATACAAATACAGGTAATATAACATTAAATACTACATAAATAATAATAACAAAGAAACTTACAAATATACGTCTCATCTTTGGTTATCATTGTCATGAAGCAACCAAATGAGAAGTACACGAGTAAGGATGATTGAATAGATTACTACTAGAGCACATACCTGACAAAATAATGGAATAATGGCACCTTCCAATTTTTGGCAAAACAATGTAAGGTTCCAGTAATAATCTATATGACTCCAAACACTAAAACACACAATGCAACAGTGTAATACAAAACTAACCAAACGTAGCTGGTATATGTACTGTAATTGGTGGCCAACATACAATCATGTAAGGTTAGTTTTGATTGGCTGTAAAATAAATATATCACAGTTGGTCATGTCTCCTGGAAGTACCTAGCAACAGTGATGATGTCATCAGATTTGTAACCAACAACATTCACCACCAATGCCATTTTGTCTTCAAGCTATTTACCTCACAAAAACTGGGGAACCAAAGGCCAGTGACCAAAGGTAATTTTGAAAAGTTAACTTCCTAATAAAAATGGTTGGCACTGTAAGTACTGATATAACATGACCAATGTAACATATTCTAAAATGCAAATTGTAGAGAATTTTACCTGTTGGGCCCCGGAGAAAGCGTGATAATATGCCGATACATATGTCATCACTGATCGTTCATCAGGTTTTGCTGAGTTAACCATATCTATAGGAGGAACACACAGACATGCACGTTAGTAAAGCTATATCCATTTTTTCAATCTCAAGAGAATATTTATCCCCATTCAAGGAAATGGTGTATCTCCTTTTACAGAATTAGATTTTCATATTTTTTTTATCAATATATCATTTCAACTCCAGAAAAATGTGTCACCAAATAAAAGTACATTGTATATTTGTTCCTACTCCCAAATATGTCTGTCTTCTCATAGGAAATAAATATTTGAAAAGAAATTTCTGTCTTCTAATGCCATAAAATATTGAGAATATTGAGTATCCCATATCCCAGTTGCAAAATTGATAACTTGTAAAAAAGGGACTAAAAATGAAAGAGAACTGTTCCCATAGAACTACAAATATATGCAACGGCATACAAGTTGAACACTATCAAAAGCCAAGAATCATATGCCAAACACACAAATCAAGCAACTTGGAAATCTGCAGGATAACACACAATTTATATTTCATGCTAACCAGCAATGTTGAGAGTCATTTATTCCATGCTATGAGGACAAAGAGTTCCATAAAACTTAGCAATTGATATTTTCTTAGGAATTCAACATTAAAAGTTGATTACAAACATGCAGTTGTACATTTATTTATTTATTTTATTTTTTTTTCAAGTTCAATCATGCATTGGGATTTAATAGTACAATGACATATAAGAACATTCTGAAGACACATGAACAGGTATATGATAGCACATGATTTCTTTCTATAATGTGTTTTAATGACAAAAAGCATTAAAATCATACAAACAAGTGAGACATATAACTTCATGTACATAATAAAACAGGATGGTTCAATCTTATTTTACAATAGAAACTTTAAAAATGGAACAATCAATATGTGCCGAGTGTGATAACTTAAGTTCATACTACTCCATCTACCTTAAGAAATGACTCTATGGAAAAAGTGGGAAAAATTCATAAGATTAATGTAGAGATTATCATCTTACCTTCTGCGTCCAACATTCTTGGGATATCCAAATGTTTTTCAGCAACATCGAAAGCTGTGTTTAAGTTTTCTAGTGGATTATCCTAAAAGTATTCATAAAACACATTAACATCTCACTCGTACAAGTAAACAATAGCCACCTCAAATCAAAACGCTTATCAAGCTATACCTACAAGCTAAATAGTTATTGCAAATATATTCTCACTTCTCACAATTCAAATGCAATATTTACTATTATTTTTCATTTCACACTAGAAAGCCAGTTTTAATTCACTATCAAACTCATTAAAAGTTTATTTTGAATATAATAAAATCACTTCAAAACTACACTTTAATTTCTACATATTCTAATGGAAAGGGGAACTAAGAAGCTTTTCAGAAATCATTTTACTCCTGATTACATCAAATTCTGTATTATAATATTTTTTTAAATAGTTGAATAGGAAGGTAGACTATATACTTTCTATCAAAAGCAATTAAGATTTCTTAAATTAATATTTCTCTCAACTTCAGACATAGTAAAACCTACCTAAATGAGGTTATGTAATGGTTCATTCGATATATCGTTCTCCCAGATTGAATATATGATATGTTTATGAGAAAATGATATATGTATAAGTGAACAAAAAGTCAATATTTTCAAACTAAATATTTTCAATTCAACATCATATAAACTACATATAGTGCAGGCAGGTTTTATTGTGCTTAAATCGTTTTGAATCATGTGAAAATCTGAAAAATATGACACCCAGTCAAAATAATAGTGTTGGTAACTAAATCTAAAGAAAACTAACACACAGAAAACCACACAACACACCATGCATATATATATTAAAACAAACCTTAGAAATAATAAATTATTAAAAATATGTTAAAATATAAAATGGCCTAGCCATGATATTATAACGAATAGTAATTATATAACATTATAAAGAATATAAGAAGATAATGGGATAACGTGTACAGGATTTGGTACTTGGGAAAGAAATAGTCCATCACCTCTTATTTTGTGCCGACATCATCATAAAAAGAGCCCCCCCCCTCCCCTTTAATTGGTACAGTACATACAGTATGGAAAGAGCAAAATGAACATACAAGTATAAGGTTCCTAACACCCAGCACAAATCTGGACAAAAATGTAAATGAAATTATATTTTATGAAAATAAAGAATACCCTATTTTAACATTTGATAGTAATGTAAGGAGGATGGGACCAAGGTATCTACTTCCTTTTCTTATGAGATAAAGTGGATATCATGACACAAATGCCCCATAACTGTAAATCTAACCGAACAAATTACACTAAACCTCCATCCAGTGCATGAGGGCCAGGGACCATAGTGATGGGAGTACCATTGGGGGTCAAATTACACTAAACCTCCACCCAGTGCATGAGGGCCAGGGACCATAGTGATGGGAGTACCATTGGGGGTCAAATTACACTAAACCTCCATCCAGTACATGAGGGCCAGGGACCATAGTGATGGGAGTACCATTGGGGGTCAAATTACACTAAACCTCCACCCAGTGCATGAGGGCCAGGGACCATAGTGATGGGAGTACCATTGGGGGTCAAATTACACTAAACCTCCACCTAGTGTATGAGGGCCAGGGACCATAGTGATGGGAGTACCATTGGGGGTCAAATTACACTAAACCTCCACCCAGTGCATGAGGGCCAGGGACCATAGTGATGGGAGTACCATTGGGGGTCAAATTACACTAAACCTCCACCCAGTGCATGAGGGCCAGGGACCATAGTGATGGGAGTACCATTGGGGGTCAAATTATACTAAACCTCCACCCAGTGCATGAGGGCCAGTGACCATAGTGATGGGAGTACCATTGGGGGTGCTTACCTTGGAGAGTTTGCTATAGTCTATAAGGTCTGGTCTATGTCTATGGATCAAGGCACAGAAGGCTAAACCATCTTTAAAGCTGTAATATATAACACACTTAACAGATGAATGGCACATGCGAGGGTCAAGGTCAAACTTCAAGGTGAAGAAACAAGATTAAAGATTTGACCTCCTAGAGGATGAATTTCACCTAGAGATATGCGATACCTTGATTTTATTATATAGCCAAACATCAGGAGGCAAGCAAGGATCTCACAAGAAATCTTTGATTGTTAAAATTCAAATCACATATTCAGGCAGAGCTTATCATTCTGAGATGTAATCCCTCCAAATAGGGTAATAAAATAAACCGCAGAATTTGATATCACAGGGTTTGTACTACTGCATTAAGTTACACATGTAACAAGGTATTGCATATCTTTGGGAGGTCTGATAGAAAGACATCAGTTGGCAGGCAAAAATTAATCCACACCCTGCATAATTCAAGTTGATCAATGTTACATTTATATATAACAATGCCAAACATGAGGAAATCTGCAAGGTCAATGTGAAGGTCAAATGATGTCACAAAGATCAAGGTCAGACAGTGTGATGCAAAGATGCAGACTTTAACAGAAGCTGCAGTTAACAGGTAACCTAAAATAATAACTAACAAAACAGAAATAAATAAACAAGTGATAGACAAAATGTTCAAAGAGGCAGAGGAAAGTGCGTTGACATCATCAGAGAACATAATAATTAAGTAACAAACACATATGACAGACTTACACTGTGCTTACAACATGTTCAGTAGAAGACAACTTGTTTGGATTGATATTTCAACTTTTATTGAAATATGTGTACATACAGTCTTTTGGAGCTGAGAATCAGATAAACAACAAATAAGAAGATAATTTTGAGGAATCGAGCGTTCAAATAGATAGATTTATTGATGGAACTATTTTTTCCTCCGAAATGAACAAGTTATATAGTTCTGTATTGACAGATGACTCTAATGCAAGCCTTAACATTTCACCCTCTGAACAAAGGCTCCAGAACTTGTACCTCCTTGGAAGAAGGAAGGAACATAGTAGATGATGTCTGGATCCTTGTGTTCGGAGGATGTAACATTTCTCCTACTGAACATAAGGCTTTCAACGTGTAAGATGTCTGGGATTAACAACAACAAGGATTGCTTGACAGGCCTACCCTGGACAGTTTGTAATAGTCAATAAGCTCAGGCCGATGTCTATGGATCAAAGCACAGAATGCTAGACCATCTTTAAAGCTGAAAATTAAAAACAATTTATGAAGCCAGATGTGAGAGTATTACGATCGTGCTGCAAGTTAGATATTTGTAGAATTGCGTTTTGGGTATTTTAAAAGATGATACACCTAAACCTCTCCCTATAACATGCTTTGAGACAATGCAACATTTGATATAATATTCACAATGCTTTTACAATATATATCCTACACCCAAAATAGCAAATACATGTATAGGTTAGATTGTCGTATGTTGTTTGAAACACACTGTAGCTATAATTTCAAATCCTTTATAGGTTTAAAATAATGATTCCACTCTGCAACCTGTCGGTGAATGTTTAATAGACACATCTATGCATACAATAAAACACTATTGGCGTGAATGGTATCCACGAATCTCATTGGCTGATACCTTCTTCAGTTTGTCATAATCTAAAAGTTCTGGTCAATGAATATTGATTAATGCTGTGAAAGCTAGCCCATCTTGAAAGCTGAAAGTAATGTTTGGTATATATGATGGACATTCAATGTATAAATCTCATTTTGTTAATTAATGAATGTTTGATGTGTTAAAATACAAATGAGAGAAAATCTTTTTAATGTGTCGAATAATGTTAATATCACCAAAAACTATACCACTTCGTCCAGTTATATGAACAATATATTACAGATAATGCATATCAACAAAAAAACAAGGGCAAAACAACACAGCATTGGAAAGCAGCAAAAAAATTGAGATACAATGAAAGACATCATATGTGAACACTGGGGACATGAAATCTAATTTGAGAGCTGATCCTGGTTTGTGGATTATTAATTTGACTTTCTGCATATAAGAGGTTATGGGTTTTAGGGAAAACATTCTAAATATGGATTAAAACAAGTAAAAATCCCAGGTATTCCTACAAGGAAAGGATATAAAATCCCAAATGTTAGTTTAAAACACATTGTACATATAACACAAACTGAATAATACAAATCATACAAACACAGATAAAAATAGGATAAACAACAAAATATTTTAAAAATATATTAAAATTACAAAATTATCGATAAATTATTTTTAAACTATAATATAAATATTCCACATTGTCAAATCAGTTCTTAAAATCAAAAAATAAACTAATTAAATCCAAAACAACTTATGAAGTTATATTACACAAAGTTTTATATATTCATTTTGTTTCAAAAAGCAGCATTCTTTAATATAAGAGGTGATTCATCCAAGAGGCAAAGCCATAGAAATTATTAATCATATGAATACGAAATGAAGCACTTGTTAGATATGGTTTCGTAAATTAGTTAATATATTAGAAAATATTAGAGAAAATAATGTATAATTTTAGTTAGTCAATATAGTCTTTCCAATTTGGCAGTGAAAGTTATCAGCTGAGTCATTCAGAAAATTGTAGTTTATCTGATGTAAACGATGACTTAATAACATGAAATGATATAATTGGGCTATGAACTTGCAATGTGCCTCAGGAGATAAAAAATGAAAACTGTATTATAATTGATGGCAAAATGACATCCTCATCAGAACAATGTGTATTTATGTTGATAAAGTAAACCATTCAAGGACAAATGAATGAGATTTAATCTGTGAACTTTCCATTGATATCTAGATTTTTTGATTTTTTTAAATTCAATTTTCTGAATTTCTTAAAATATGAACAAAAAATGTGATTATATCTGCAAGTATCTCAAATGACATCTTCTCATGTGGCTAACTTAAATATGACTATATGAAAATCTAAGACTAACCCTGATTAATAATTATTTTATTAATAGATTAAGAACTGAAGCATAAATAAAAGCTAAAAATATAGTATCTCACAACTATTTAACTGATCACATGTGGGTATTAGTTGCAGTGAATAAACTCAGGAATCAAGCAATGTTATCTCAGACCTGTTCAATCAAATTGTATGTTTGCACGATACCAGACGTTGCAATCAAAATTTTGCCTGATTTACCAATTTTTTCTTTCTTGTATTTTGAGGGGATATGCAACAATTTTGGGCTTATAACACAAAATACAAATCAATGCAGTTACCTGAAGTTTGAAAAATGTTTCATACTAATAAATATATAATTCACTTAGGGGTTGTGTCCAAACAGAATTTTTTTTATGATGATCTAACTCATACCCCACCCCTACTCCCCTACCTTTAACAACAATTTGAAAATATCAATTTGCTGTTTACAATGTACTTTAAAGGTCCAACACACAATATATTACACCAATGAAATCATAATTTCTCCCCCTCTATTTTAACTTTTTTCTTGCTCGAGTATCATCTTTTGTATACATTCCCTCAGAAAGGTCTGATTTAGCATAGCTTTCTACCAGAGCTATACTTCACTGCAACCTTATGATAATGGGGTGAAGATAACATTGGGTCTATTTTTACAAACATGTACATGTGCGATATGAGGCATAGATAGCCATTTGCCTTAGCAGTACAGAAACCAAGATGATCCGATGATGTTCTCATGTTCTGGACTCGGGGTTCTGGACTAATACAAGGATGGACAGGGCCAAGGCCTACATGACTCAGTCCAGTCTTGCATATGCCAAGTTGGAATACTTTTGAGTCAAAAACATTGATGTTTTTCTTTATTCAAAATAGAATCATAAATTGACTGAAAATCACTCCAGATGCATAGATACATGAACTTGTTATAAAACATATTTGTAAATACGAGTCAATGGTAAACCTTCTGCAAAATGCTATGGTGAATGTGAACCCATAGGACCCATACAATACATTTACAGTATATACAACATGAACATACAACTTATCACATATTGCCTGGGAACTAGCTCATCATTATGTAGCTCTAGCTCATCATTATGTAGCTTTTCATACAAGAAGGCTTGCTTAAAAACATCATTTGTTCAAATCACAAAAAGTAGTTTTTCTGAAACGAGCCTTCTTGAATATAGATCAAGTAGCGTAGCATTATTTCTATAATTAGGTATAGATACCCCAATGATGTGCATAGTAATTCATTCATCCACCACTTAGCTTAATCTCTGCTTCCTAAATTCAACCACAGTATTGTAGCTGGTATTACAGATAAAAATAAACCATTAAGAATCGGCATAGGACCCCCTCATAGTACTTCTCCCCTATATATAATTTCTCCATTTTTATTTTACCATTAGATATGGTAGCTAGAAACGATTAACATATTTTCTTATTCTTCATGCCAGGTGTATATTTGAAGTATATCTTAGGCTTATCAGAGGGTTGGTGCTAGAACACAACTATTGACCTTTAAAAACTGTAAATGTACATTCCCAGACTGTTCCCTTACTCACTGGCAGTACTCCCCTTATATTCCCCATATTGTGAGAATATACCTAGGTTACCTAGGTGATATTATTTGGCAAGGTTTACCAGCTGTTTTACCCGACATGAACTAAGTGAAGGTTAGGAATTAATTATAGCTATTAGAAACAGTTTCTCTTTTTTTCTTTGGATGTGTATAATTGTGTGGCCTTCAGAAGGTAGGTGCCCCTAGATCATTATTATTCAAAATCATGTAGTTGCTGTTAATACCAAAGAGTTAAGAGCTATTTTGGGCATTTTGACAAAGCTACATCATGCTCACCACCAGAAATCGAAGACAAAATATACCACTTCAACGAAAACGCATTACATGGCAATAAAACAAGCCGATTCATTTTGGTTTTCCTTTCCACCAGAATAAAATCAAACTCTTCAAAAAAAAAATTTCATTTACATGAAGTTCCTTTTATAAACATGGATATCAGATAATAAAGAACTTGACAGGGGTTGCTGATAAACAGAGATTAAGAAGCACGGTCTATAAATATATCATTTACTGCACACTGCGTGGGTATATATACCTTGGATAATGTATACTACAACATTTACATATACTGGTAGATATATGGGTTCATGCTTCCTCTTGACAATGTCGTTCATAATCTTTCAGTAAAAATAGTTTTTTTCTTCCATTTTCATTATTGATGACATCAATATAATATTGGTTGAATGATCAAACTATTTTATTTGAGAATTATTGTGGCTTAGATTATCAAGATATATTGATGATCGTTGAATGATTTCTACTGAATTCAGGCCTCAGTTTTGGTCTCATAGTTGTAATTTCAAAGGAGTTAATTTTTTTATTTTGTCAAGATAGGAAGCTTTCACCCATGTGCACATCAGTGAATGATGCCAAACTCATCACATATCACATAGAAATAGTACCATTGAAAGAGTACCATTCAAACAGTACGATTGAAACATGGAAATCTTTTAAAAAATAATAATACATCTTGTTGAATATTGTAATTACCAAATTTTTTAGGATGAAGAACATTCATCATTTTAACCACACAAACAACTTAAATTCATGATATGGTAAATTTATTTCTCTGCATATGTGATGAGTTGATCATATATAAAAAAAATACAGACAACCAGATTGTACCGGACAATGAACAAATTACACCGAACAACCTGGTAGAGGCTGACCACAGAAGGATAGAAAAGAGAAGTTTCGCCATGCTGGAATATTCCATACTATACCTCAGATGGAAATTCTGGACATGAGTGTTTTTATAAGGTGCAGTTTTACGTTGGCACCAGAGCAATAATCCTTCTTTGGCAGTCATTTCTGAAAAATGTTAATATCACACGTTGGGTAAGTTTATTACCTTAAATGGAAGTTTTGCACATTGACGTTCCTGTAAGGAGACGTTTTTCGTTGGCACCACAAAAGGAGACCCTCCTTGGCCGATAATTCTAAAACAGATTTTGCAAAAATCTCTGTATATTACAAAAATCAATTCAACATATCATTGGATCAAATATATTAAATATATCTGTTATAGACTTACAAAAATGGATTGATAAATGAAAGTAGATTACTTCTAAAACATAGATGTGAGTATTACTCATTTTTAATTGACATGTTTATCAAATCTTAAGAGAGATCTTATATATGTAGGACACCTGGAAAGATAAATCCTTAAATGTAAGAATACATGATAGAGTTGTGTGTATATTTACATCCATTTACATGAGCATCTTAAAAGAAAGGAAACGATAATACAAAAAAAGTCAAAAGTTTCATGGCTTTTGATGAATAATACATCCAAAATATCTATCTTTATTAATGTTAAACCGACAAACAAAAAAGGTGTATTTTTCAATAATCATAATTGTTTCCTAAGTATTACAGGGCCAGACTGGATTATACATCAATGTAATACTGTAATTTTTTTTTTTATTTGGGGAGGAGATGCAAGTCAACGGTTATGAAGTTAATAATATTGAAATTAATTCATTCATCATTTTGATTTCCATAAGTTTTCAATTAAAAGGAGATTGGGTCTTATCCCTCACTAAATTACGACTACAAAGAAAATCCTCGAAGTGGACACTGACCTTCTACTGAGATGTCCTGGATGGCGAATCTCAGGATAATTGTCCAGATCATACCTAGAGTCATTTTCACATTTCCATCAACGATTTCTGGAAAATAAATAACAATACATTACCTATGTTGTAAAAATAAATTGCATCTTTATTTGAAAATGGGAAATAAAGACATATAGGTTTAGGGATTCCCCGTACACCAGTATTCATGAACAATTTTCACGATAGCAAGTCTGGAATGATCATTCAGGTCTCAAAAAGATGTCCTTATTGAAGAATTACCAATCCCTTTGCAAATATTTCTTACATCTAGAGCAGCTTCACTTTGGACCTACTGTCACAATAACATTGTTGAATATAACATGGGTTATAGGTTAATTTCAAACCAAAAAGTAAATCAATATGATAAAGGCAAAAGTGGGGAGTAAAAGATGGAAGTAAAAGCTATTACATAGTAGAACCCGGGATACTGCTGGATCTAATGGAACTAAATATGTTCACAGTGAGAGGCTTTCAATTTTGGAATTCACATAGAAAGATTCTATTCTAGTCACTCGTTGATGGTGTGCCACATATAGGAGGAGTATTCACCAAAATTATTACATGGTACCAAAAGTTGTTAGTCTTGCTTCAAGACCCTGAATATCCCCCCTACCCCTATCTACTTTACAACAGGTAAATAAGGGGGGGGGTCAGGGTCTTGAAACAAGACTAAAAGTTGTACATGTGACTGCATTTTACTTCAGGTGATCTTGTGATATAAATTCTATTAACTCTGTACTGTATTTTTCATTAACTGAAAAATCTGCATAATTCAGAGTTTGAAAGTAATCTTATAAGTAAAAAAAATCAATTCCAAAATTAGTTGGGGGCATTTTAGTATGTCCCTGTTTAACTGATTATTGTTACCCAAAGCTGAATTTTGGAAAATTAAAAAATCATTACTAGTACGTAGTCAGTACGAGATAAAAATAAGAATTCATCTACCAAGAAGAATCTTTGAGAAAACAGTCTGGTTTAAATTGTGAAACTAAATGGTTCATCAAGATAAAAATAGAAAAATTTTCCCGATTTAAGTTTAGATTCTGACATCATCAATTTGAGATATTATGCTTCAACTGCAACAAGCCAGCTCCACAAATAAACAAGAAAATGTACTTAGTTGAGGTTCCTATGTTGGGGTTATGATAACTTTATTTCAAGTGATTGTTCACATTTCCCACAAGTTACATTTCCCTGTGTTCTGATATGTTTACGAAATCATAAGCCTTTGGGGGTATTGAGTTGTTGATAATTAATCATTGAAGGCAGACCAATAGATGATATATTAGAAACTAATGGTATTCAAGAATTGCCATGCATCTCTAAATAAAGATTGATTACCATGGTTAAATGAATAATAATATATTTGACATTCTGCATCCGGCTTTCTACCAATGCATGTAGACTGCAATGTAATATTCATGGTGATTTAAAAAGGTTTATTCTTAAAATGGGACTCAATCCCAATTTAACTTGTTTTGGTTCAAAATATGTTAATATTTCATCAAACTGACAGGGTACATACAGATTTTTAATAGGGGTACAGGACTATGTTACCCTAATACTACAGAGATCACAGATCTTTTTTTCTTGCCAGTTGATACATTCTGTACCACAGATGATCCACTCGATTACGCTGGTTACCGAAACGGATCGTATCGGTAACAAAATGTCGGAATGTCGAAGGTACGATTTTTCTTTTTTCCTTATTTCACGTGTTGTAGGCAGAATTCCCACGACATATGAAACGTTTCGGTAACCAGCTTAATCGAGTGGATCACCAGTGTGTACACTATTTTATGTATTTTCAATCGTACAATATAGACTGAAAGAATGGATGGTTTGGGATTCAAAATAAAACTGATCTATCAGATAGAATTGATGCAAACATTGCATCAATGAAATTCGTTATCTATCTTATGATTTTTACTTATTGAGTCATATGTAAGTGGTCTCAGAGCTACATGTACATTGTTTCATCAAATGATTTCCTGATAATAACGCGATCCATTCTCTTTATAATCTCATTATTATTAACGTGGAACCCTATGATTGAATCTTACATCCCAAATATTTGAAAGGTTGGTACAGTACATGTATTTGTTAATATTATCAACTTCTAAATGGGACCTATTGAATATGTGTAGACAGGGAAAATGTATTTTGTTCTACAAGTGTGAAATTCGATCATCTTCATAGTTAACATATAGCCTAATGTTGCTTCTCAGATTCAGTTTATTGTTTATCGATTCTAGTTGCCCCAAGGGAATCATTGAACATAATTCTCTTATACTGAACCAATTTCCCTAAACTAGATTAGCAAATTAAATAGTTTGTCTAAAATATTTTATTAGCAGACTGTAACAACTTTCAAGTCTGAAAATCTCTTTATTAGATCTGTAAGAAGAATACATATAACAGAAAATTAAAGAGTTTGTCACATATATTTTATAAGCATAGTGTGACGTATTTCAAAGTATGAATATCACTTTAACAGATCAAAATCTGGGTGAAGAATACACGTTTAAAGACCATAAGAAACCTGCCATGATAATGCAGCGCATCTATCCTCCTTATCAATCAAAAGTCATCAAAAGCTGTAAAGATGTCTTTATTTCCAAATGTTTTAGCAACCTCTATAGTTGACTGAAGGCGAAGTAAAATGTCCTTGGTAGAAAGTTCATAGTTGTTAATTTCTATGACCAAGTCACTAATATAAGCAGCTACTTCATCAACATCTGAACTGGCATCATCTTTATCTGGAACATACTGGAGATCTTCTAATAGCTTAATTAAATATGGCTTTAATATGTCATCAACATTCTGTCTACTATTGAATCCATTACAGATATTTGTCACTTGGTCACACTGGAGTTTCATAGCTGCGCAATATTCAGTCAAGTGACCCATAGGTAGATATAGATGGCGTTGTGTTGGGTCTTTTTTGACTGGTTGTTGCTTTTTGGCACATAATGGATCCTCGATCATTAATGACTCTAAACTGATCATCTTAATCACATTATCTTGATTTCTACCCCATTTGGATCTATGTTGCATATCCCATAATAAAACAGGTCCTTTGTTGAATGTCTCAAGCTGAGTTAGAAGACGTGTAATAGTATATGCATAGTTCAGGTACCACTGCCAGAGTTCTTCATCTTTAGAACCCTGCGGAACATCAATCAAACTAGTATCACTATCAATATCATTGATGAAATTTTGTACAATTTTTATCCCGGTAATTTTATCTAAAGGTACCTTATCATTGAATATATCCTGGATTGTGTAGTGTCCTGGGATACAATAACCAAGTGGTTGGACAACATAAGGAGTGATTTTCTGAAGTTCAAAATTAATCAGAATTTCATAAAGTAACTTAAACACTGCATGGGCCTTGAACTGTTTTACTGTTTTGTCAGTGTTTTTCAGTGGGCCAATACAATGTTTAATGGTGGTGGCGTTGATATGGGTGGTTTGTTTCATAACGATAGTCCTTCCATTGATTCTACCTAATGTTCTCTCTATCCCGCAATATTGTTCCCTATCAAGCTCCTGTATAGTGTGGATGCCTTCACAATCAGCTAACATCTCTTGATCATCCCTATTAGATAACACACTACCTCCTTGCTTAAGTCTATAAATATACGCAAAATCTGACCAAACATAATCATTTGGATCAGTATCAGACACACTATCCTGTGTGCGGTAGAAGTCATACTTGTCTTTGGGGATGGTGTCACCATTGATATCGGTGTCATCATCAATATCACCGTTATCGTTCTCAATAACATAGTTAGTCTCATCGAATGGTAAAAATTGATTGGTGATCGCCACATTTGGGTTGTTTGATACAGCAAGCCATCTAGTGATCAGATATAGGAATGTAACACCCAATATGCAGACTGCTAGAATATGTAACCTACAGTCCAACTCTCTCCTCAACTTTCTTACAAGCAATTGCATCATTGTGATATTTTCTTCTTAGTTAATCCCTCACTGTTCACAGTTTTATAATTTATTCATTATTTAGTGTCATTTAACAAAACTTTTTAAAAAATATATTGCTGTGGCCACTGTTCAACTTGACCTCCTATTTATGTAATCATACTCGATTTACATTTTTTTAATTATCATGTATATGTTAATAATCCATGTTTGTATGGTAAAGTTAATTCTTTTAATCCATTCTGTTATACACTATATTACTATAATGTTCATGTTCAGTATACATATGTACATTATTCACATAACTTGTATGTTGGTAAGCCTGTTCATATGTTTTATTCATATATGCCACCAAGGTACTCGGCTATAACATGCTGTATTGTTTCTCCTTTATTACCACACATGGCTCATATATCTTGATAATTCATTGTCACCTGTTCCATTAAATCGTCATTTGTTCAGTACAGTCCGTTCAACACGTCCAAAGGTTCAATATTTATCCCCTGATAAGTCTCAAGGGTTTATAAGTTAGGGTTTACATGTTAAATCCTGTATTTTTACAATCCATTCATATAACTCTCTCCTTTTGCGGTATACTACAATTGTGAATGGAATGTTGTTCCTGTAGTCCCATCAAGATCTGTTTATATATGTTTCCTTCTCGTGCTACTTCCCAGGTCTTGGTATCCGTTCTTGTTTATCACAAAAATTACAAGTGTTTATACATCTTGCAAAACTAGCTGAATTACATGACGTTAATTACACTGGAGCATAAGGAGGCACTAATGCTGCTTCTTTAATCAAACTTATGACTTAATCATGCGTGTCTAGTTCTTTAGGTACCTCTATGGTATTGAGTAATACCAGTCCAAGAGAAAGCATCAAGAAGTGCTCAATTCATTACATATGGGACACTTTCCTTCAGGATGTTTTCTTAGCATTGTGCATCAGACTGAAAAAGTCTAGTCAGTACTGATTTGTATGTCCTTTAGAAAAGTGTGATATCATATTCATATTCACTTATAAAGGATGAAAATCAATCTTGATTCCATCTAACTCCGACTTATTCTAATGTTTACATATTTAAGTGCACCAGACTTTGAAACCATTTCCTTAAATGTCAACTTATACATTTGTGGTTCATATATCCTTCAACTAATAAGTCCAATTGTCAATTATGGCTTCTATTGTTAAAACCCTGGTGAGTCAGCTAATCAAATATATCTATGTTTCTGTTGTTACCCATCCTTGGTCAAAGGATATTTCACTTCTTTCTTTTTTAACCATAGATGAAGTCCTTTGAAGAAGTGTTGTTGTTACCCTATACTTCAAGTTTGTCTAGGGTATGGTTAAGATATTCATAACTCAGCTGATACCATTGTTGAAGTCATTCACGATTTGTAAGCAAAACAATGGCATGAATCATATGTGTTAAGTATGTCGATGATCTGACAATCTGCTGAATCACATCAATACAGCCAGTTAACTGTTCTCTTACAAATCCTGGTTTCTCTGTGATCTACTTGAATTAGTGTCTCAGAATCATTGATTATCACGACTGTTCAAAGATGCATATTGCAAACATATTTACTCAATTGTTAAAGGCCCCACGCAAAGTTTGAAAATATAAAACTTTATATGGGGCCTTTAATATTGATCCAAATTTAACTTGTGATCTTGAAAATGTCAATGATAAGAATACTCCTAAGCTCTTGATAGGAGAGCTCAGTTAACAGGGCCAATGACATGCTATATCTGGTGAATTCACATATTTCACTGAGCTAAATATGAATGATCTATTTATTACAGATTATTCAATTTGGCTATATTTTCCTCCATCCCCCCTCCCGCTACGGGCCTGATATTTATTGAATGAATGATGCAGTTTCATACTAGTGTGGAATGTAGTCATCACCAATATTCATAATTTAATAAACTATCTGTCTATCATATTACAATCACAGTTGAACTGCTGTATATGTGAATACCCCTTTGAAGCAAACACTAATACATGAAATTTTGGACAATTCATTAATATTAATGTTATTGAGTAAGAATCTCTTAATAATTATAATGAACACCTCTCAATTTGAACACTTTTAGATCTAACTGCAGTGTTCACTTAAACAGGTTTTACTCTATCATTATATAATAGTCAATGCAGTATGTTAAACAGTTTGATACATAACCCCATGATTATATGACTCTAGTATCCATTTATATTGGATCAATTAGCTGTCAGACCATGTATTTTTGGAACTATGTGCTGGATACCCATCCTAGTTATATGTATGTGTACTATGGATAGTAATAGGTTACATGTTAAGTTATGTAAGAAAGTTGGCAATGGCAAATCAATGCAAGGTTGATGTATGATTGCAATTTAATTATACTGTAATTACCAATATTAAAGGAAGAATCTAATCTGTAGGGGGTGACAAAATTACAAGCAACATGTATAATTGACCTACCAATCTTTTCCTTACAATATCAAATACAATATCTCCCAAAGATCTACAGTATGTTATAAATTGGTGAAGTTATTAATGATTCAAAGTGCAAAAATGAGTGAAAAATATTGAAATTCTCCCAAATAATAAGAATGGTAACCATTCTTATAGAAAAAATACATTATTGTAAAAATCTTTGGTTTTCCTGGAATAAAGTATGCACTTTTGTGATTTTTAGAAAATAGACATGGCAAGGAATGACATGAGCCAAAAATATTCTCAAATTGAAACAATTTTTGTTTAGCCTGCTCGCTATATTGGATTCTCTCGTTAATCAGACATAATAATGGGTTGGAAGCAGATAACAGAAGTTGGGCCAAAATCAAAATCTAGATAATTCTTCAAAGATGGTAGAATGAACTACGTTAATAGGACAGGAATTCCAAATCAAATAATCATTATGGCTAATCAAATCCAGGTCAGGTCAAAGGTCAGCCAGGTCTCATGATTATGCAGTAAAAATTTGGATATGTTGTAATTTCACATCAGTTATTTTAGGAATTTGGAGAAAATGGGGGTTGTTCACCACAAGTATTTGATAAACATATTACAATACTATACATTGGCTCATCATACATACCTTCTGGTCCTATAGATACAAGTTTAACTCCTTTACTTTCAATAAAATCTAAAGCCTTGTTTACGTTTGCGATTTTATGAAATCTCATTCTTCCTTTATCTGGCTTGGGGAGCTGTTCCCCAGATATAACTTCCAACAGCAGCATGAGTTTAAGTCCTTGTCTAAAGTCTTCTTCTATTTCCTCAATCTGCGTACCAGCCTTCCTTAAATGTGAGTTGCACCATGCTGTAAAAGTCTGCAAAGAAAAGGGGACAATTTAATAATGGTCACATAGCATTAATATCATACCAGTAAAAGGGGAGTGGATGTAAACATGTACCTCCATCACAAGTCATGAACATATATATCAGGCTGTTTAACTTCGATAGAGGTGTTATAATGGCAATGGTTCAGATAACATAAAATTACAAATATTTCAACAAAATATTCAATACTCAAAATACAGTAATAAAAGTCCATTAAGCAGTTTAAGAAAGATAGGATAGAAGGAAATATGCCAGAAATTGCTGTCTATAATAATACAAATTCACAAGAATTACTTATCTTCAGGTATAAATCTAAAATTCTATGTTAATTGCTTTTACAAATAGATGTCAGGTCTGCATCACACCATTTTACATACACTTTTTATATTTACTTTTTATCACCATTACCTTGGACAATCATTTAAGTTAATTAAATCGAAGTTGTCCAATGATTTACATTTTACATTAGATAATGAGCTATCTGTATTAATTTCAATATATGGGAAAAATGGTATATGTAAAAATGTTCAGAACATTATCGATATATGTACTCCCGTTTATCCTTATTAATAGTTTGAGTTTGCAGCTTTAAAAGAGAACTTCATCTACAACAGTAAGTTATTACTATTATTGTCTTATATAGTAGCAATCACTACTATTTGCCATTGGGCCTCTAGGTGGTTGTAAGGATAACTAGTGTTTGAAATGATAATGTGATTTACAGTTGTGTCTTAAACAAGATAAAATGATCAGTAAATCACACTGACCTCTTACTGAATGAATTTACACCTTGTAATATTGATAAGTGCTATAGTTGTCAACTTATAAGATACACTACATGGCCATTTATTTCAATGTCCTATCCAATACATATATCAGGCATGACTGTGAATTGATGTTTTTAGAACAGCTCTGAGAATCATAAATCACAATCACAAAATAAAAGAGTGTTTTCAAAAAATTAATGGGTGCTAAAATTACATTTTATTGCTTTAAGTGCTAAGTGCTTGTAGTACTATATGCTTGACCACAAACACTTTGATCAGCTACTGTGATGTGCTGCATGAGGTCACAATAGGCTATCTAAGAGTCACATATTGGTTTTATTAGGTTCAAGATTGGACCTATAAATCGTAATAGTCTCTCTAGTTTCTATAGGTTACAATACTCGGTATAGGATCAAAAATTTATACTTCAAAAAAATATCAGCAAATGATCAAATCTATGGCATACTCTTATATCTAACAGAATATCTATAAACCAATGAAACCGAAATAGATGAATACCACTGTTGCCGACTACAAGGTCTGATGTTATATTTTTAGATACTCTTACACCAACTTCAATACACTGTACAATGGAGAATGCCTCATTGTACATTCAACAAGCCACAAGTATATACAGTAAAACCTGTTAAATTGAACATTTTTTGCCAAGGAGAAATCATTCAGTGTTGGTAGGTGTTCACTACAGAGAGAGTAATTCAAACAGAAGTCAGTATGTGCGGAGGAAGGGTGTTCACGAGAGACAGGTTTTCATTAGAGAGAGATATTCTCTAAGACATTAAATTACTTTATGTTCATATCAGACATTTTGGTATATTAAAACATGTAAAATATTTGCAAACATAAATAATGTTTAATAGAAAGGAGCAAACACTGTATATTTCTTGTCAACTTAATAAGCAGCTTTTATTGTCAGTTCTTAACCTAAATCTGTAATACCTTTGAATGTCACAAAATATATCATGCAAGCATTTTTTAACTGAAGGCACATATAACCGACATGTGCATGTACCTTAAAGCTAAGTAGAACTAATAAGCTAGATATCTCTTAAGTATTGTTATCATCTATGATTAAAAATTTCCTCATAAAGACATCTTGAACCCTGACAGTCCTGATAATAGGCACCTTACCACCCTTACAATACATTCATTCTCTATGTTTTTTCATGTTTGCACTGAGGTGTTAACATATTTTCATGACATACTGATGATAAACTGAGTACTGTACACAGGTGTACCTAATCTACTGTGCATACCTGTATCATTATATCAGGTATTGGTCATTTTTACAAGGTCACTTTTAAATTGATACATGTTGACCGATACAAAGTCAATAATACTGGTTGGCTCATACTCAAGAGATAAGGAGATCAAATACTGACAAAATTATATACTAGCCTGATATTTCACTACTATACAGTTATGCTATATGCAGTATATATTTTGGGATAGGTTCAACAGATAAGTTTGAAACTTAAAATAATCTAAGTTAAGTAGAACTGTCAGGAAATTTTTTTATAAGACAATCCCAATTGATTAATGGAGGGACAGAAATATTTTGTATAACATCCTTGTCTTCTTAAAGAGGAGCCTGCCTGTCAGGTTTATCAACCCTTTGATCCTTTAGCTATGTTATTTAGTATTTGCATATCATTCAAACTATCTCACATCCCACCTATCTTTTATATAATACCTACTCATACATATACTACAGTAACTTTATTGAAGTATCTCCTGTCCAAGTACATGTATATGATGTGGTCAAATATAGTATGGTCTATTAAATGCAATTACTTCAGCTATATTTGAAAAAGTTTATATTGAGAGGTTTGAGAGGTATTCAAAACAAGAAATTCTGATAGCATGGCATATATACAACTCTTTGTACCAAGAAGTGTTCATATTTCAAATTGCTGACTTATGAGAAGTGTTCACAAATACAGGTTCCTATGTACATGTATATATATCCATGATAAAGAATGCAGATAAAGTACATGTAAACTTGTAAAGAATACTTCCATTAATTCACAATTACCGCTTCATGAATCAAGTCCAGATGTTTCCCTGAAGGAAGATTAGTACATGTGAAAATGTGGATGGGAAAACAACAATCACATCTGTGAACACGGGTTATCAACCAAACATATTCTACCCTGAATTTCAATCAACTAGCCAAACTACATTCTCTCTGACTATTACACACAGTAAAATCTTTAGAACACCTGTGTTTGACATCTCTAAAAGTGTTTCACTCGGAAGGTGTTCCACTTGTAGAGGTTCATTTAATAATGAGTCAGTTAGTCTTGTGACTCTGAAAAGTGTGTGTTCCACTTGTACAGGTGTTCCACTTTACAGTAAACCTGTAATATATGTCAAATGTAGTTTCCATATTTTATTGAAAGGGAAACTAATGTTTGTCAATAAAAGGCATGGAATAAAGTCCCATGATTGTCTGACTACATAATCTGCTTAGATATAGATTAGGCCAAAGAATCTTCTGCAAAGAGTGTAGATGGGAAGTTAAATTCTAGTACATGTAAAGGGTAAGCACATCCTGAATACATCATGCCCTATTGAGTTTTTATAAGTCTTTGCATTCATCAAACAAAAACTGATATTTGGTCATGAGAAATCAGGATGACAGCATCTATTTTCTAAGAACTTGAAAAATGTATTTGCACAAGTGTGCACCTCCATGCCTTTACCATATGAAATCAAAACCACAAATTACGTTTATTCATATAGAACAGTTATCATGATCATGAAGTCATACTTCCTGTAGCAATATCAATGGTTTATATAAAAATGGCCCGAGTACATATACATGGTGAGCCTGTGTATTGTAACAAGGCAATGGTGTGCAACATGCAAAATGTCACCACCTGCCATTTGTTATAGATGCTAAACACCATCCATAAAAAAGTTGGAGACTATAACAATATATCACCACTTGTAGTGGTGACATAAAAACATGTTTAGAAAAACAGCCTATTTCTCCATAACAAGGCAAAAGTAATATACATAAAAGTAAAATGAGCCAAAAAAACCATTACCACTCAAACATAAGTTCAGACAATAGGTAGATTTCATTTGTCTAAAAAATCGATGATGAATGGATAGACGGACAGACTGACAAGAGGCCAATATCATCATGAGCCAAAAAGTAACCAATGAGAAAATTAGACCTGAGAGGCTGGTTTCAGGTTATTTTTAAATCATTACAGAATTGTCTCTTACAAAAACAGATCTTGGGTTATATCAATTGAAAATCATATTGGTAAGAGAGTGTAAAAAATGTCCCAATAAAACATCTCATCTTATTTTTTTCAGTCAAATGAATCAGAAAGATGTGAAGAGTATAGGAATAGACATAACATGCATCATAGGCTGTCGACTGATGCTTTGCTAGAAAATGTACTGATCTATAGTACTCTGCATTATAATACACATGAACGCATTTGAACATTCTAACAAACTAAAATGATATAATAAAAGGCAAATGTATAGAGAGAGTAGTTACTTTACATGACCTTATATTAGAAATACTCTACATTTTACAAATATCAGTTTCTCCAAAAGTAGAATTTCAAAGTAGTGAATCAGATAGAAATTGTTGATAAATCTTGTTTATAAATAAGCTCAAGGGGGAAGAACGATTGGTAAACAGAGCAAAAACAACATTTTCTGATATAAACTGTATGGTCTGCGAGAAATTTACAGTAGAACCAATCTTAGTGAGCAATGATACTTGAATACATCTTGTGAATAATTTTCTTCAAGCCCCCCCCAAGGATATATAAGTGAACCTCCATTTTGTATTCATATACTCATCACAAAAGTTTCTTTGTTTCACTAGCAATGTAAACCCTAGGACTGAAAAGCACTGTAACTTTAACTATAACCTAATCATCTCCATAAACCTAGAGCAGTTTTCTTCAAACCAAATTGTGTTCATAAATGCAGGTTTTAGTATAATGTAATCTAAGGTTCCCATAAGACTGAATATAACACAGGTACTCCTACACAAATCCCAGAGGCATGCTATAGATCTAAATAGACCTATGCTAAAACAGACCCATTCAGATCAAGGGCGGATCTGGGAACCAACAAGGGGGGCCCAAATTTCAGGTCTGAGAAAAAAAATGTTGGGCCCCTAAAACCAAAAAGTGGGCCCAAATTTTGAGGCCCATTTTCCTCAAAGTTTG